AAACATAGTATCCTAGGAGAAACCGGAAACAAAAACTGTTACATTGTCATCAGTCCCATTTAAATTGATGAAGTGGCAATGGGAATGTGTCTTCTCCATACTCCTTTCTACTTCTGTCTCTGCTGTTTCTTCAACATGGAAAAGATGCTCCTGCCTCAAGACCTTTGTTCTTGCTGTTCTTTTCTCTCTAAAGGGCTCTTATCATGATGTTCACTGAACTGGCCTCCACTTCCTTCAGGTCTCTGCCTAAATACTACCTTCTCAGTGTGTCTTTCCTGACGACTTTATTTCAAATTGCTCACTTGTATTTCCAGTCTTCATACTTCCCTTCCCTACTGTATCTTTTTCCATAGCACTTATCACTAGGTGACCAAATATATGGTCAAATTATTTATGTTTTTTGTCTGCTTCCCAGGTGAGAATATTCATATGTTTTGTCCACGGTGCCTACTATGCCTGGCACAACATGGATATTCATAACTATGTATTGAGTTAATTAATTAACCCTATGAGGTAGGTACCATTTTTATTCCAATTATACAGATTTAAAAAAATGCACCCTTATAATTTCCTTTGGTATTGAGTTCTAGATTGTCACTTATCTGTCAGCCAATACTTATTGAGGGACTAAAGGGTGCTACACAGTGCTGGGTTAAGGTTGGTGACCAAGCAAGGTACTAGATCTGGGTCAGGTCCTTTCTTTGTGGTTTTTCACCCCTCCCTCTTCCTTCCCTTGCTTGGAATTGCTCTTTTAATTTAGGCTCATCTCCATGATCCCTATGAAGCAAAGCACAGCCAGGAAGAGCCCAAGTGTGCATAAAATGTATAAGAGAAGAAAGAAGTTTTAATTGATGCAAAACCAAGATGTCAGGAATCTGTCACTTGAGAAATGCATTCTAGTGCTTGAGAACTCTTTGAATTACTTTAATTCATGGAAGACTACCTAGCCATTCATATGCAATAAGGCTGTTTTTTTAAATAATAGGCAGGAAATATATGCGGAAAGGGTGTAAATCCATGCAATTATGTGGTATGAAGAAAGGGATGCAGCAGCAGACAATGAATCATAAGTGCTAGACATGTCCATACAATGCTAAATGCAATGACAGTTTTATTACTGTCATTAATATAACATAATTCTATGATATAGCACTATTATTATCTCCCTATAAAGGCAAAACATAAACATGAAGTTAATCTTAAAAACTATTAAACAAGAATAAACAAGCACCCGCCCCCCTCCCCCCAAAAAAGAATAAACAGGCCCAGCCATGATATCAGAGGGAACACGACCACAAAGGTATCAAGTATGAGCATCAATTTTGTTCGTTCTGGTCCTGCCCCTGCCTATCTATGGAGAGTGGGCAGGTCATTTACCATCGCCAAGCTAATATTTGGACTAAGCACTCAAGTGAGTATTATTTCATTTAGTCTTCACAACTGCCCTATTAGGTGCTTTCCTTATCTTTATCTCAGAGAGTAAGAAGTGGAAGTTTAGGGAAGTTAAACAATGTACCCAATAACTGAACTGGGTATGTCTGACTCTAGAACTGGTCTATTGTATCCTGCTTCATTCAATAAAACTAAACTCTGTTTTTGCGAACATCAAAAAAGACGTGTATAAAAGTAAAACATTGACACTTAATGTCAGTTAATATTACAAAATCAGCTGAGGCCATATAGAATTTCTTTAGAATTTAATAGAGCCAATCGTTAATATTTCTTAAATGTTTACTATGTACCTGTTACAAGCATTATCCCAAGTAATCACCACGCAAGCCCAGGAAAGGTCCTGTGCTAATTTTTTAGATATTAAATTACGCGTATTTTTCCCGAAAAGCTGTTTAAGTGGGTGTGCTAAAGCAGTATAAACGATTCTAAGGAGATGCGGTAGTGTTGTGCAGCCTCCTGTTATTTAGGAGAGCAGAAAACGCGGGAGCAAGAGGGATTTGCCAGGTCCAAACGCAGGGGACAGGCCCAGCCACCGCGTCAGAGGGAACGCGACATGATTTCAACAGCGATGGGGCCATTACTTTTGCGGAACTGGGATGTTAGAACAGTGCTGCGTTATCAGAGCCCTCCGAAGGAGCTGCAAATGAAATCGAGTCCAGGATCACTACTGCTAGAGATGCTCTAGGGCCTCCAGCCCGCGTGACTTCTCTTTGGGAGTGACCAAGTGAATGTCGGAGCGTGGGCGTCGACTCTGGCTGGTCTCAGAGCTTTAGGAGTGATCCTTTTCTGCTGGATGACTGGGGTCTCCCCTTACACTCCAAATGAAAGGTGTCACACTTTTCATTTGTTCTGCAAACGTTTACTGACTGCCTTCCATTCTCCCATATACATAATGCGGCAGCGACACCAGCCAAGACCCAACGCTCGCGAGCGCCTCGGAGTTGGCTGGAGTACTCAGAAAGCGAACGTGCCCACTCGCCCGGGAGCCAAAGGCGACCCCCGCATCCTCAGCGCTCGGTCTGCGCGCGCCCGAGGGCGGCGCTGCCCCACGCACATGCACACGCACGAGAACGCGGGGCTCCCGCGTCT